GGATTGTTTTGAATGTTAATTGAAGTAGGAAGACCATCCTACAACTGGTGATGTCATTCCCTAGGCTAGGCCCTGAATCTTATTAGATGAGGAAAACTAGTAAGCAAGCAGGTATCAAAGGTGCATTCATTTATCTCTACTGTTAAATGGTGGGTGTGACTTGGGTAGCTGCTTGAGTTTTTCCTAGACTTCCTCTAAAATGATAGACTATGACATGAAATTGTACATCAAACCAACTCCTTTCCCTCAAGTCTTTTTGACAGAGTGTTTTATCCCAGTGGCAGAAGGGAACCTAGGATACCTGATCTTCCGTTATCCTTTTTTGATTTTGATTTTTCTCCCACTGTGCATGAATCATTGGCATCTATTTGTCTTGTAGCTTGGGCAATGTGGCTGCTTAGTAGTCATGTTAGTCATGTTAGGAAATTACGCCTATCATAAAGAACTGTGTTTTCTTTCTTTGAAGGTGGGGTAGGGGGGATCATGGGAAATAATGAGGCCCTACAAAGAACTAAGACTATTGGAAAGGGCATAGGGGAAGCACTTGGAAGATCCTACAGTTCAGTGTTTGCAGACTACACTCACTGTCAGTTACTGAATACTTTATCTGCTGACTCACAGCATCTGCTCCAGGATGTACCACGGAAGAACCAAGGTGCTTGATCAGTGTGTCCAGGCATTAACATGTAGACCTCAAGAGGAAAAGTACAGCTTCCTTCTAAACAGATTCCTTCCCAGGCCAAAGAGAATGGCAGCTCCTTCAATACCCTGCTCTCCTCATGACAGCAGGGGAGGAGGAGGAGACGTGGAAGGAAGAGCCAGTGGCAAATGGAGTTACCCAATAACTCTGATGTCATGTGCATCACAGCTGAGGTGTGTGAATGACACCATAGGACAAGCCAGCATTTTTTCTTTCCTATAGGAATGATGTCACCTCAGAGAACTGAAGATTGTATTTGGGAGTTCATGCAGTTTCTCCCAAGTAGAGGTCAAGAAGGGTCAAGTGAGGGTTGCTGCTGGTCACTGTACTATAGAGCCATAGATCAAGTTTCCCTCTCCCAGGAACAGGGAGGGAAGGTAGCAGATCTAATGTAGGTTTCTACTTGGAGTGTGTTTGAGATTCTGACAGAGGCTACGGGTTTTAATGGAGGCACCAAGTAGTTGAAAGAAGTCAACTGCATTCAGCTGGCTCAGAAGGTGGAAGAGACGGGATCTTCCTCTGTAAAATACCACCACTGTAGAGATTTATAGTGACAGATGCTTAGAAGAATGGGTATGTTACAGTGGGCAGACCAACAGGCTTGGAGGCTAGGGCTGAGCATAGACATGTCCAGTGCCTTCAGTGTAGGCTCCGCCAAAATATGCATACCGCAAATGGCGATAAAGCCACATGTATACTATAAACCAGCTTAGTTGTTTGTTCTTGTCTTCCTTGGGTAAGGACAGGTCAGTGGCAGAAACAGCTGACCTTGGGTCATGTTGGGTCCGAAAAGGTTGCCAAAACCCAGTTATAGATGGAAAAAAATGAGGGTTGGCCCATTAACACGTGAAAGTCGGAATGTTTTTCCCTTAGTTTTGCAGGTATTCTTTGGAAATACTGCTTTGTGCGATTTGTCCAGATGTCTTAGGTTCAAATAGTCTTCTCCAGGAACTTGGTGGTCATTGTCTCTTCTCTTGGGGACATTATTTTCTAACAGGAGAGAGACAACCAGAGACACCAGCATGGGACAGAAGGCTGGAGATGGCCAAGGGCACTGGGATCGCTCATTTAGAGGGATGGTGAAAGAGTTCATTTTGGATACGTACAGCCTGAGGTCATGTTGAAATCCCAGCTGGAAACAGTCCACAGGCAGTAAGGCGTATGAGTCAGGGGGTTCTGGTCCATGACAGAGACAGACATTTGGGAATCATCATACAAGCATTTAAACCAAAGGGGAGATGGCCTGCGGAACATGACACATGACAGCAGGGAAGCATTTCAAAGTTGAAGCCATGAGACGTGTAGTAAAGAACAGGAACAAGCCAGGAGAACTGACTCCGCACAACTTAATGTCAGCAGCTTCTATTAAGCATTTACTAATCCCACTTGGGTATCCTAGGCGTAAAATAAATCACACTAGTCCCTCCCTCAATGTGCTTCTAGTCAGTGCACCGAAATGATCATTTAACTGTAGACCAGTAGCGACAAAGACACCTTTGAGGCATCGTTGGACAGGGCGGGGCAGGAGATGGTGGAACAGGCATGCTGGGGTGGAGCACGTGGCTTAGGAAAGGAGAGCTAGGATGCTCTTTGGGGAAAATAACACCTGTAAACTTAAAGAGAGAAAGTAGCATTTATGAGTGAAGAGGGGGGTGGAGCACAGAAGAATAAAACGACTTGTCTCATACTAGGAAATGCACAGGGATTTCAACTGAAATTCTTGCCTGGGTAAGCAGAAGTTCTCTCTTTGGTAAGGTTGCACTGGCATGTAAGACACTGTTGTTAACAAATGAGGTTAACACAACCGATGGACTATTTACTCTGGCTGTGTCCACAGTTTGCTGAGGTTTGGAGTTCAACTCACCACCGACCCCAACATTCTAGAGCTAAAGAGAAAGGTGCCTCTGATGGCGGAAGACACCTGGGGCTGAAACAAGACAAGGTGGTCTGTCAGTTAGCTCTGAGCTGCAGTTGAGACCATATGGCAGTTTCATTTTCCACTGGGCTTTGTTTTCCCTGTAAAGTGTTAGATTAGCACAGAGTGTTCCTAGTGCCAGTGACAGAGGGCGGATGGGGGCGGGTGGGGGCAGGGAGTATTGTGGCTGAGGGGAAGGAAAGGGAAAGGGACGGACTTCATCAGGTCTCCTCCATTCCACACCAGAGAGCCAACTGTAATCAAGCCACCAAAGTAGCTGACCATTGAATATAATATAATATAATATAATATAATATAATATAATATAATATAATATAAAATATAATATAATACATAATTGTCTTGATGCTCACTCTGACAGCAAGCTTTATTCTTCGGGCAAAAAACTCCATCCAGTTCAAGCTTTAGAATGCAGCTGAGAGCCTACATGTGAAATGATACATTATACAGGGTTCACGCTCTTTTTGCCCAATCACAAGCTTCTCTAAGTTTGTTTTCATATACTTGAATTCAACCGGCCTTGGATTGAAACTGTTTGGAAAATGATTCCATTTGTGTTGAATGTGTACGGAACCTTATGTCTTATCATCATCTTCCAGACTATACAGAATCACAATTATTCATGAAGCGAACGCTGCATAAATACGTTACATTGGCTAACTGAGGAATTTAGGTGGTTTAAGGCATGTGCGAATACTTATGCAGGGTATATGTGAGTGCTACGCTATTTTACATAAAGGGCTTGTACATCCTCAGACTTTAGAATCTTCTGGGTCTCCTAGAACCTATCCCTGATGGATGAGTTCCCCTAGCTTTTGTCTCCGGGCCAATCAATAACTACTCTCTGCCCTACAAAGACAGAATAGTCGGAAGGCAAGATGAGCGGAGAGAAAGGGTAGCCGGGTAGAACAGGGAGAGTTGAGACAGCGGAAGTAGGCTCCGTGTCTTCAGTCCAGGCCTCTAAACTTTTTGTTTTATTAATTAAGTGTGTGAGTGTGTGAGTATGTGAGTGAATGAGTGAGTGTGGCGTTTGTGTATGCGCATGCACGCACATGCACACTTGTATGCGTGTTAAGGCATGTGTATAGAGGTCAGAGGGCAATTTAATAGAGTTGATTTTCTCCATTTAAATTTACATGGGCTCCAGGGATCAAAGTCATTTAATTAGGCTTTCATGGCAAGAGCTTTTACATGTTGACCCACCTCCCTGGCCCAGCCAGACTAGCACTTTAGTTTTCCAAATCATCTACAGCAAAGCCTATACATTCTATATAATTTTTTTTACCATAGTTTCATGTAGTAAAACTGAGTTTTAATACCTTCAAGTCATATACATGTGACTGTGTGCGTAAGGCATTGGTGGGACCGTGGTTTGAATCCTTATATTCAGGCTCTGGGCTGAGTCCCACGGCAGTACATGGTTTTCTCTAACACTTGAGACTATCTGGAATTGCTTACTTTCCACACAGATTCCTGTGCCCCAGCAGGACTGTAGAGTTTCAGAAATTGAGCCGAGTTTCACACACACACACACACACGCACACGCACACGCACACACACACACACACACACACGTTCAATTAATAATAGTATATTACTTCCAATCATGATTTGGACCCTGGGCAGGCCACAGCTTCTCCTCGAGCCCTTGTTTCATTACTTGTAAGGTCAGGACAGGCAGGATGGAGTTCAGCTCAGAAACTGTAACTGTGGCTGTGGTTTACAATTAAACCCTGTGACAGGAGCCTGTCAACTAGTCCCACCAGCCATCCCTCTTCATTTCTCCTTATCTTCAAGTATTGTTGCTGAGATGATGTTGAAGTGTCTCGGAATGAATATCATTTGATCTACAAATGTTCAGTTTCCCTGGAAACTAGATGTCCCCTACTGTGATGCATTTGAAGCTCAGGTCTCCCTCAAGCTCCAGACAGGTCTCTCTCATCCTCTGGGATATTTTTAGCTTCTGACTTCTTGGCCCTGTTAGAGACAATGGAATGGGCTCATGGGTAATTTTAAATTTTCTTACACAGTCTAAGTATATGGTCATGTGTTGGAGGTTTAAATCAGATTTCCCTCACCACACACTCTTAAGTCCTCACCACACACATATCTGATTTGCAGTGTTTTCATTTCTACTTTTTTTTTGACCTCCAATGGAGAAAGAAAAGCAAGAACAAGGGGCATTGCCCAAACAAGTCTTTCCACTTGGAGGAGAGGCTTCTCAATAAGAGGACCTGAAGGACTTCCCATGGGCGTGAGGGAAATCGCACACGCCATCGGGGAAGTGGACCAGGAAATCGCTTCTTGTTTTTCAAACAGCAACGAGGCTCTAGGGGATGGCTCTGTGAGGCTTGGAGGAGTGCAGCTCCGGGAGGCAAAAGTTGAGCAAAGGAGTGGCCAGACCGGTTCATTACGATGTCTGCCTCGCTGCCTCTCTACTGTCTGTGAGGTTCCCCAAGAAGACTGCGGGGCCAATGGCCCCGTAGTGAAAAGCAGAAGTTTCTAGACATCTGTTGAGAGCAGGCGCTTGCCTGGAGACGACAACAGTGGTGGAAAGGTAACAGATTTTTCTCTTTCTGTGGTCTGCATCCCTTTGGAGCCAGACCTCTGGCAACCTGAGGCATTTGTACTTTCCACATTGTTGCTGTTATTCTCTGACTGATAATCTTTAGCATAGCTGTGTGCTAGGAAGGTAACGTAGATCACTTAAAATCACTGTGCTGCTGGAAGTCCACAGTGAGGCCCGCTTTTGGGGGCCTGGGGGTGTCTCCCTCCAGTTCACTGCTGGGAATGGTTAGGATTTTCTCTTTAGTAGAGATAGCTAGGTAGCCATGGTAGTGGTGGCCTGCAGCAAGAGAAGATTGCACTAAGAGCAGCTGAAGGAACTCTGAGACGGTGCTTGGGTGGGGCACGGAGACCTCCTGCCCGTGGCTGAAGGAAAGGTACTTATGTGTTGCTCAGTTAAAACTTCTGGTCTTAAGAACCAGTCAGACTTGCTTTGAATACTGTAGAAAGTCAGGAACAAAATCTCTAGAGTGTACAGTTGACTGAAATCGTATTTTCTTGTATCTTGTAGAAAGCCGGGTTGTACAACTCTACCATAAGTCTTTGTCCTTTCGAAAGGGCATAATAGAGTTGGGGTTTTTTGTATGTTGGGTTGGTTTTATTTTATTTGCCTTTTCTAGTTTTTGAGATAGAGTCTTGTGTCTTGCTTTGTTGCCCTGATTGGCCTGGAACTTGTTACACAGACAGGGCTGGCCTCAGACTCGCTGCTTCTGTGTTTAAAGTACTTGGAAGTCAGAGGTGAGCCACTTTTTTTTTTTTCTAATTGCATAGGAATATATGGATATATTCTTACTGTGGAATACCTGCTCTTGACAGTTTTAAAATTATATACACTTCAATGCATGTTTTCTTCTCTCCCCACAAATTATCCCTTCAAGTACTCTGTGTGGTATCAGGTAAAGGCTTGTTTATTTGTTTGTTTGTTTGTTTATGTTGTTCTTCCTGGCTTTTAGAATAATCTAGGATGAGGCCTCACAAGTTCTCATTGCCAAATTTTTTTGATGACACTTAATATTTCCTCCGTGGAAGAATAACATGACACAGGACATATGTGCCCAGCTCATTAAAATTTAGAAAGTACGAAAAAAAATTCTCTCCTTTTTACTCTTTTGCTGTTTTTGGTGTTGCTTTTGTACTTGATAATATTAATAATTTCTTAAGGATGAAGCTTTAAGATTAACAGCAGTTTGAGTATTATCTTTGAAGGACGTCAGAGTTAGCATTATTCTAGAAATGAAAAAGGGGACAAGTAAAAAAATTAAGTGGCTATATAGATCAGTCTGTCATTCGAAAACTAAATAGTTGATCAAGGGAAAGCTAGATTAAGGCAGGGAACCTTTGATTTTTTTACTTGACGAGTCATCTTCCTAATATCTTAATCATCTATAAAAGGTGTTCTTTTCTCTCTGCCCCGACTCTGTATATTGTAAAACGATAAAATACTAAGAAAAACATGGCAATGAGCAAGTCCACATGGGTCGTAGAGAAGGGGAGGGGCCTTCATAAAGAAAAAACAAGGAAGGAAAAATGAGAAGAACAAAAAATAACCCAAAGAGTAATAACTCACTGACTTGTTCATATTGTCTTGATGTATCCAAGGTTTCTGCAGCCCAAACCCTGGGGTTGGGGGTATCAGTTGAGGCTGCTGGAGCTGATATTCTGCTTTACACTATCTTACTCAACTTGCTTTTCATAGTTCCTCTTCAGAGAGGTCACTAAGTTAATGAACCCTCTCAGCCCACTGCACTGACCTCAGGGGTGGGCGGGGGCGGGAGGAGGCTGGATAGCCTAGTGCTGTACCAGAATGCAGTCATCACTCTGCTCCACACAGTGCTCAGCGGCATCTCGGGGTGGTCATGGAGTCATGCAGGTTATCACCTCCTGAGTAGTGAGGTCAGTCTTCCACACGTCTCAGTTCAGTCCCTTAAACTCAAATGCAACTTTCATACTCTCAGGAGGCACCCATACCCCTTCCTTTGCCAGGCCCCAGTGAAATCGGCATCTGACACCTGCTCTGTTGAATAAAATGAGAAACGAGAATAGGAAAGTGACGGTAATTTGCCCAGCTTTACACAGTGACTCTCTTGCAGGCCTCCCTCCGGGATGCGAATTCAGATCTCTTCTCAGTCCACTGGCCCCTTTCTTAGCTAGGACTGTGCAGATGAAAAGATAAGGAAGAATTGACACAATTATCTTGAGCATATTCGCTTTCGCAGCATGGTAAAGGCTTCGCTGGGGGTTGTGAAGGGGCACTAAATGATTGCAACGTGTGGGTAGTTGCAGGCTAGACTACCTGCTGTCTGTTGCTGTCAGCCTCAGGGGCTTTCCATAACCAGAGGAAGGTCCATGCACTTCACAGTTGCAATTGGATCAGGACTTTTCTGCAAAGGTCCTGTGCATTTGTTATTTGCTCTTCTGTCTCCCCACTGGTTCCGTTACACCCCCAAGGTCCAGAATGGGAATCCAGACTGTAAATGAGGCGGTGTGGTTACCAGCAGCATTACCTGGTTATGATTCTGCAAAGCTGGGGCTGTGCTCAGCTGTACGCATCCTGAGTTAGAATCCTGCCAGGCAAGGATGGAGAAAACATCCCTCTTTCCACCCACAGCGGCATTGTCTTTCCAGTTTCAACTGGAATGACCCCACTGACTTGACGCAGATACATTAGCTCCTGTTGCTCGCAGATCCTATGGAGTCTGATTAAGTGTTCTAGTCAACAGGATGTGCTCAGTTAAATGCATGAACTGGCTGTGGGCACATCGTAAATGCCAGAGCGGCTTGCCAGTTCTGCATTTCAGATCACGTTGTTTGACTCTGGTCACCATCCTTAAAAGAACTGGAATCTTGCTTACTTCCTAAAGGATAATCATAAAAGTAAAGACTTTAAAATCATAGCCTCATGGAATTGGGTACTCCAGAGAGGATCTCTAGGGTTTGCAAAATTAAAAACACAGGGGATCTTGCCATGTAATTACTTTAGACTCTTAAAGTGTGTTAAGGATCAAGCGCCGAGAATTTTAGTAACATATGCTCACTTCACTTTGCGCTTACTGTGTCCCAGGCACCATGTCCAGCACTATGTAAAGATTACTCTTTTACAGTTGTGCCGATAGGCCTGTGTTATCATCATCTTTATTTTGTAGTTGAGCAAATATACAAAGGTTAAGTAAATTATTTTAAAATAACTAGTAATGGGGTAACAGAGTCATGATTATGTTTCAGGCAGTCTGACTTCAGAGTTTATTTGCCTTATTATTATGCCGTGCTCCAAAAACCATAAGAGCAGTGCTCAGTCATCTGCTGGGCCAGAAAAGCAGCTAGGTAGAGAGATGCAGGTGTATTTCAAAGAAGGACACATCACTGAAGAAACAATGAGAGACAATGAGTTCCAAGGGTTACAGGCTCAGGCTCTGGCAATTGACACTACGGTTTGCCTTGTGACCTGGGTATATTGCATAATTTAGCCAGGCATTGGTTTTCCTCACTGTACAAGTGGGGATAATGGAGGTTCTCATAAGGCAAGATCATAAGACTAAGCGAGACTGATGGGTGTGGATGTTTAGTCTTAAATCTCATCTGTAGATGTGCTTGATAAAAGGTAGCCGTCATTGTTATTGAGTTTAAACGGGAGGGGGGGCAAACAATGTGTGAAGCTCAAAAGGGGAAAAAAAAGAAGCTTCACAGTGGTCAAGAACCGTATGAGAAGACACTCAGAGGTGGTAACCCACTCAACCCACATTAACTGTTAGTATTTGTACCATATTTTGTAAAAAGAAGTTACAGTCAAAGCTTGTGAGTAGATCTGTCTGTATCTAAACAACAGAGACAACATTGGCTGAACTGGTTTCGAGTTAGGTCTCTGCATTCATGTTTGTCAAGTGTTGCCTAAGCGTCTTCCTCAGGGCATCTGAAATGATTGACGTGCTTGAATTACATACAGTGGTGATCTAAAAGGGAGTTCATTCCAAGAAAATTTATCAGTTGCTTTTGTGTAGGATTAGTGGAAAGGGGGAGGGGGCATTCAGGAGTTGTGACTGGGTAACAGACAAGCCCGACAAAAGCTGAATGACCTCTGAGAGTTGCTGGTTTGATGGCATTCCCTCCCCCTGTCTGCTTCTTGTGTCCAAGAATACTTGTAGGGCTCTGGGCCTGCATGTCAAGAGAATGAAACCAGCAGGTAGCAAATCCAGGAAGAGTTGGTTAGGAAAGACAACGGTAGCACAGAAGACAGTAGATTGTGTTTTAGATGAACCAAATTTAGACCCAGATAGAAACAATACTGCCAGAGTTATATGCTCAGTATTTAACAAATAGGACAGCGTAGAAGTAAGGCTTGGAGTGTTCTCACATAAGCCAACCGTTTAAACTGTGGAGCTGGATATGTCCCCAAAGAGCAAAGGTGTCAAGAAAGAGAAACCAAAACTGAAGGAGAGGTGTTTGGCAAGACCGAGGCTATGGTGGCGGTAGTGGATGAGAAAAGGAGGGGAGCAGAGAGAATAGGGGGAAGGAGAAGGGGTGTCATAGATGCGGGGACACAGGTGAGAAACCAGAGAGAGCACTGGAGACGTATTGTCAACTTCTTTCATATAAAGCGTTATTTATAGGAAGCACCAAAGTCACATGGTCAGAATTAAGACATCTTGGTACAGGAAAGTTATCTAAAAATATTGCATTCAGAGAGAAAAATTAAGTAATTCTTTTTTCTCCTGTTTCATGCGGCATACTCCTTATTGTTGAAACTGAATAATATCCCTAAAGGGAGAGATCAAAACGTAGGAGACTTACGATCATGGCCAAGGGTGGTCGAACCAGGTCACAGGAAGGTAGTGTAGCCAGGGCTGGAAAGGAGAGACTTCAGAAGGCTAATATGACCCTGTAACCGTGTACATGCTGGAGTATTTGTGTGCACTTGTGCCTGCATGTGAGTGTGTATTTGCATAGATGCATATGGATGGATGAAAGCATGTGTGTTGAGGGGAAATCTCTACCTCT